TATCTCTTAGTCGTGCTCTTTGTCATGTTAATTACTGCCTTGCTTCACATTTTCGTATAGCAGCTCCACTCAGCGCATGCAATTGTTGCTTTCGCTTTTAATTGTCCACATGTCCAGCTGACTTCATGTTCTACGTGAGTGTGTGTGTGTGAGTGTAACTTGTGCTTGTACGCGTGTGTGTGTGTGTAAGAGTGTTATTAACAACTTTAACATCACTTTGGTGTGCCCTCAAACGAATTCCAGCTGCTGTTTGCCTTCTTCTTCTTCTTTTTGTTGTTGGCTGTTTGTGTTAATCTTATGGCGAATGTCGCCTGGGCTGCCACCCAACTCAACCCACACACACACTCACGTATACACACTCACGTATACACACTTAGCATGCGGATGGCTTCATTTTAAACGCTCTGAATTAATGCATAAGCCAGCCAGAGCGATGTCGATGACAACGTCGTATTTCCATTGTCTCGCTTTTGAAAATAAATAAATTTATTAATTGCCACCACTCGATGCGCCCTCTGCCCCGTCTCCTGTGCGAGGTGCCTAGTGTCTAGCGCCTTGTGCCACTTCAATTAGTCAGGTCCCTTAAGAATGGTCAGGCACAACAACAACAATAACGACAACTAGCAGGAAAATACATTTTACAACTTTCCCAATTGAAGTTCTAGATGTGCGAGGGCAAAAATCAATTTTAAATTAGAGCACAATGAGCTCATGTATGCGGTCCTAGGACAACGACAACGACAACGACAACGGGGCCCACTCACTGCTGACCGGGGCGGCTTGTTGTCGTCAGGCACAGGTGGTGACTCCCACACATGACGGCGGCAACAACAGAAAGCGACAAACAACAAGCCAGAGGCCATACACTGCTCAAAGAGGAGTTAAACATTTCCTGCTCATTGAGTTGGAGTTGAAGAGAAATGTTATTGAGCAATAATATATACATATATATATACAATATAATATTGTGCTCTTTCGATTTGTTTTTTATCAGTCTTTTCCTCTTCTTAAAAAAGTATATTAATATTTACACATCTGTCTCTCTCCCTCTTTTATGTACCTCTCCCGTTTTTCGACTCTCTTACTCATTTGTTTATTCGCTGGCTCATTCCTTCTTCTTCTTCTACTTCTTATTCTTCTTTTTTCCTCTCTCTCTCTCTCTTTATCTTCATCTCTTCAACTCTTCCGCTCTCTTTTCCTCTTTATCAGTTCATTTCTCATTAACTGACCCATTTTTTTCTCACTCATTCCTTCACTCTCTCTACCTCTCACTCTATACCTCCTATTTATAATGATTATAAGTTCTTAATATATGCAAAAGAAAACGTTTCTTAATTATTATCAAGCAAGAAAAAGGAAAACTCCAATTAACTCCACACTGTGATTAAATATTGGCTCCTTCTTCTGCCCATTTTTCTCTCAGTGCACGAAGCTCACTCACCTTGCCCCCGCTGTCCGTCGCCGTGTCGACTCTGACTCTGGCTCTGGCTGGTCTTTTGGCCTGGGGCACTGTTATTGAATCGAGTTACATGTCAAAAGAAGCGCCTGTGGCAAAAGTGGGCGCTACAAGCGAGTAAACAACAATAAAGCGAAGACAAACAAAAGCGCAACAAAAGCTGGACACAAGCTGAAAGACGAGCACGAACTCACACAAGTATGATACCAGAGTCAGAGCCAAGAGTCAGCGCCAGAGCTAGAACCACAGCCAGAGCATGAGAGTGGGTACATGATGAATGGAACGCGTTGCTAGACAATTTTTCAATTTGAATGGCATCAAAAATTGGCAATGGCCGGCCAGCCAACACGGCCAAGCACGCTCTCGCTCTCGCTCTCGCTTTCTCTCTCTGGCATTGCAATCGATCGCTGCAACCTGCAATTTGCCGCCTCACTGCGCAGCCCACAACAAGGACAACGCAAAATCAACAAACAAATTGGAATGAAATGAAGTTTTTAGGGTCGCAAGCAAAGGATTGAAAAAAAAAACAGAATCCAACATCCATTGATGAATTTTTCAAGTTGCAAGTTGCATTGGAGAACAGCAACATTTCGTTGCATATGCATTGCCAACCCATT